TTCAATAATAAAAATAATGTACAGTTGTCTCTATTATTTACTGGACCGAAACAGAATAGAAACACAAATAAGGTGCTTTGCATGTTTTGCTTTTTTGGTTGATTTTTTTTTTCAGACTTGCTAGCTAGTAAGTCTGCTACTATGAAAATTGATAGTTGTATATTTGTTATTATCACTTTTCACAGCAAACTTACTCAACCATGGCAAGCTGGGGGACAAATTAAGCTCTGGATGGAGGAGGGGCAGGGATGATGGGAGAGCTGGGTGGAGGGATGGAGGAGGCAACGGGGGTCAGGGCGATGGGGGGTGAGTCTGGGGTCCCACTGCACAGATGGGGGGAGGAGGCGGCAGTGGGGTCAGGGGCGGTGTAGGGGGGTGAGCCCGAGGCTGAAGCCTAGTATCCCACTGCACAGCTAGGGACTGGAGGAGGCAGTGGGGTCAGGGGCAACATGGGGGGGGAGGGGTGAGTCTAGGGCCAGAGTCTGAAGCCCGGAGGCTGGGGGATGTAGCCCACTGCTGCACGGCTAGAGCCTGCTGCCCACTCCAGGGCTGAAGCCCAAGCCCCACCACCCCGGAAAGATGGAAAACTCACACCGGTTACCTGCTCCTACAGTGTTTGGGCCTCCAGAAGAGGGTAGGGACCAGCACCTGCTGGGGGCCCCGGGGGAGGGGCCACTGCTTCTCCCCACTCCCATTGTCACCCAGGAGGCTGTGGTCACAAGAAAAGCCCTTGGTGGCCACATGCGGCTATGGTGACCACATTTGAGAGAAACTGCCCTAGAGACTGAAATCCTTGATGTACACAGAATGGGTGTGTTTGCTCATCCTTTTCCATACAGAGTCCAGGTAGAACAGATAAGCTTTACAGTGTAACCTAAAAGTAAAAAAATTCAGGTTCTGATGAAAGCGAGTCCCACAGTTGAAGACCCCATGTTGAAAAAAACAATCTGACTCCAGTCACTGTGCAGTTATAATGGGGACTGTTTTGCACAAAGAACATTTCAGATTTCAATATATCCAAAGAAAATTGTCCTCGTTATCCTGATGGCCTTGTATTTGCTATCCCAAATACATTTAAACACTGTAATTTTATGTACTCATATGTAATATTGCAAAACTTTTGTTGTGATTGTAATAAATGCTTGTGAAACATGTATATGATGTTATCTATAAACAATGTAGGTGATGCATAATTATCTGTTTTTCCTTTAAAGTTCCGTTATGTGATTTACACACTGTCATATTGGTTTAAGATGCAATTCCATATCAGATGACCAGGGCTCTGCGTTAATACAAAGCACTTTTTTGATTGAATATCCATTATCTGATTTGAAACTTAATCAGAGCAAATAACAAAATGATTTTAGTATAGTATGTGCTAGAGGCTGCAGAGCTCAGTTGGCTGGGTCAGTAAATGCTGACCCAGTCTTTCACCAGCTCATTTGGAAGTCAAGCTGTGTTGTAATAAATGGGTTGTTAATATCATAAAAAAATCTTAATATATTGAAAACAGGGAAAATAGTGGAGAGAACTGTCCAAATGAGGAGAGAAGAGAAACATTTACAAGTTAGTTGGCATGGGTACAGAATATTATATTTCCAGACTGTTTTGGGGAAAAGTTTGGATTAAGAATACTGCTACTCTGCATGTATATAGTGCTTTTCATCTCATGTTTTCACGTCTCTTGTCAAAAATGATTTAAGTATTAAGTGGAAGAAGTTGAGACACACAGAAATTAAACGAGTTGTACAGAGTCACACTGGAAGCCATTTGCAGAGTCAAAAATGGAACTCTGATTTCCTGCCTCCCAGTCTTCGCTGTAACCGTACAGCTTGGTCTCCTATGTCTATATTCTCTAGAAATATTTTTGTATATAAAAGGAGTTGGAAAATTTTACTATTTTGTGAGTTAAACAAAGGAAGAGAAGCTACTGAAATTAAATGGATTTTTCCAAGTATTAGTGTTTGAAGATTTGTGTAGTATATCAGTTTTGCTTTTAAATAATGATTTAAATCAGTTTTCCCTCTCATGTCCCTTCTATCGTACAATATCCTTAATTTTCTTACTCTCTCGAGCTACCTATTATTTTTGCAAAGTTATGATTTTTTTATTTGGTTCTTTGCTGTGACCCACAGTGACAGGGCTACCTGCCAAATGAGATTTTTTTTTTTTTTAGCTAATGAATATGATATTACAGCAGGAAAAAATTTGCTTGTATGGGTTTGACTAACAACTAAAACAACAGAAAAACTGTATATAAAATACTGCTAAGCACTGGATGGGAATACTGTCAAATTCTGTGTCTGTGTGTGTGTGTGTGTGTGTGTGTGTGTGTCTGTCTGTACAGGAACCTGACAAGAGGAGTTGGTAGATTTAGAGAGATTCTAAGAGCTGTTGAAACAAGAACTACACAAAATCTACGAATGGTAAGTTTTACAAACGTACATTGACTGCTTAAAATCTAAATGTTGTATAAATGATAAACATACATTTATTACAGAGGGAAACAAATCAGATTACAGCACAGTAGTCTATTAGTTACTAAAACCTATACAACTTTGCTTGCAAAATTTGGGGTTAAAATAATTAGTAAAAACAGAAGAGACTGTTTGATCAGCTGTCTTTCTTCCCCTCCCTCTATTCATCTGACTTACCTTCTTTATCTGGTTGTTGTGTAAAATGAATTAGGCTTGGAACCATGATCAATGTCTAATGAACATTACTGTATTTCAGCTCCGCAGAGGCATTGTTTCATCACTCTTAGAGTTCTGCACTGTCTGTTTTTGTTTTTCCAGATTACTGAATTTGAGTTCCATTTTCATGTAAATTACCTCTTTCTTCTCTCCCATAAAACTTTTTCAAAAAAGAGAAGCCATAAAGGAGATTCATATCCATATCCATATAAAGTAAACATTCATTAAACAAGTGTTAACAAGTATAAATCAAAAGTTTTCAGATAAGAATAATGGATATACAACATTCATTACAACACGTTTTGTCTTTTGTTATTCTGAACCATTTCTACAGACGTCCTAGACAAGAGTTCTAGTATAGTTTCTCCAAAACTTTCAAAACACCATTAGAAAATCAGTTGATCAGTTAGCCTTTTTTAATGAGATTTCAAAAACCACATTTTTCATAAATGGTGAAATATTAGACATTTAAAGGCGGCCAGTAATATTCCATGTACAGAGTGTAAATAGAACAGTAAGAAATGGAAGGTAGGTTTCTTACATTACAAGGATAAAAAAATGAAAGATGTCACTCAGACAGTGACACTTCTGGCTCAGTTGCTAACCATCTGTTGCTGGGAAATGCATGCTGAGGTTGTCCCATTTCTATAGCAGTCCACTTCTAAGACTCTAAAAGTCAGAATTTTTTAACACTGTCATCCATAGAGGTCATTTGTAGCTAACACACACGTATAAAGCATTGAGAAAGGGATTAAGCTGATAGTTTTGGATCTAAGACAATCTTTTTTTATTTTAAGCTGGAGAAATAGAAATATACAGTACCCAGAACATTTTGGCCAAAAAATAAACCTTTTTTATGTTCTCTGTCTCTTATGAACTATTTCACTGATGTTCACTTGTACTTGTTTGGAGGTAGATTTTCATGTTAATATTTGTTTGTGAGTTTCTTTAAAGATCAGAGAGAATAGAATTTTTAACAATTTTTAATAGTTTTGTGGTACATAGGAAGACAAACGAGAATCTGTAGTTTGGGGGGAGTTTTAAACAAATTTATTCTTCAAATGTTTTATTTTCAGTCTACATAGAAATTACCAGGGGAAGAAATTAGTCATCTTTTTGAAGTAAAATATAAATAACATAATGAAAGCTATTGCAAAGAGAGTTCATTAAAGGCCATTTTGTTGAGCTCTTTAAAAATAACAATGGGATTAAAAATCTTTCGTCTACATATTGTGATGATGATGCAATTTGAGTTATATTTTTATAGATAGTAAAAGCCCACTGAGATTTTATTTGGGGAAGAATATAGGAAGTAATTTCCTTGCATGGTGATCATAATATACTATCAGATTCCTTCTTTTACTGAAGCTCTGTTATAGTGTTTAGGATTTCTGGGGCAGGGGAGATGGGGACTCAAGATAAACATCTGATTCAAAGCTTGCAGTGTTTGTTGCTAGTGCTGCTGTCAAAATTCAAGGGTAATAACACTATATTCCCTCTCCATGGGCCTTCAGGGGCACTCAAGCTTTCAGGATCCCAGCCATTACTTCTGGGTGGAGACTCTTTCCCTCTTGACCAGGGGTTATAAGGCTGCATCGCCCCTTGCCTTACACTGTGATATCCCCAGCAAGTCAGTCTGCCTGAAGGCCAGCACCTAGGCTGTGCTTTCTCTCCAAGGGCTCTGAGCAGTATATTGCCAGCAGTTAGAAGTTAGCACACTGCTCCTTCTCAGCTGAGTGTATTTATTCTTAGGATAAAGCATCACAGAGGAAATACTTAAACAATACAAATTCTTTCACTCTACTGAATGTACCAGAAATTGCTCATCTTCCACATGGAGAGTCTCGTAGACCAATATCTCTTCAGTAAAGGTTGGGGTCTCCCTTGGACAGTCTTGTCCATTTTCTCACTCAAACGAAGCCCCCAGTCAGTTTAAACTCAGGCTTTATATATCCTAAATTCTGTTTTTGTTTCTTGGTCTCAGAAAACCCAGCCTGAACCAGTATATGAAACCACCCCAGCGGGTGGTGCTTAATTGTTCACTATCCCAGGGGTAATTGCCCCCTAATATTTTTAGTTCTTGTAGGAGCTGTAGTAACTGTCCCCCATAGAGCAGAATAGAATCATACGTAAACCATAAATTTAATACAGTGGTCCCCAAACATATTGCATGCGATATCTGTCACAGCTATTATTTGTATTGTGGCAGCAACGAGAGAGGCCGCAGCCAGGGTTGAGGCTGCATTGTGGCAGGCACCGTTTGAGCACATAGGGAAACATTGTCCCATCACAAAGAATTTACAATCTAAGGCCCTGATACTCATACATACGAATAATCAAATGGAGTTTAATGGAAGACTTGCATATGTAAAACTACGTTGTGCATACACATTTGTAGAAGAGGACATAGAGAACAGAAAGAAAAGGGCAACGGTGGTAGCTAATCTGTGTAACCACTTGTTCCTATGCGCACAGCTTGATGGCAAAATTATTGATATCATACAAAGGAACTAAAATTTCAGGTCCTGTGAACCAAAACATGTAATTTTAATAGAAAATCGCATTTTTACTGGGTTTGAATTGATGAAGTTAAGGATTCAAATTAAGCCTTCTTGGCAGTAATGACTGCAATGTAAAATAACAGAAAACACACCTGAATTTAAGTGATTTTTAGGTATGTTAACATATTTTGATATGTTTCTTCAAATATCTGGGATTTACCCATTAAAGTTCTGTCAAACAGTTTTGAAAGCTTTTTGTTGCAGTCTTGTACAGAAGCAAACTGGACATTGTGCCTTTCATTCCTGGTGTGCAGGGCATTCTGAGTTTTTCAGGCCAATGGAAAAATATGTGGTGGTCACGTCATCTTGTTTGTTCATTTTTTGCATGAAGTGAAAAAATAAAGGAAGATGGGAATTCTCAATAATGAATAGACTGAGAATAGAAACCTTTTTGACCAAAATCATATTGATCGTGACTAGTCCTCATTTGACAAAATCCCAGTTTTTTGAAGACTTCCTGTTCAGCATTTCTAGGAGAAAATATTTTTCTGTTTTTCTTTCACAGACAATAGCCAGGCAGTTAGCTGAAATTTTGTTACGAGGTATGTGTGAACAGAGTTACTGGAATCCACTGGAAGACCCTCCTCACCAGTCACCTCTTGATGATCCACTTCGGAAAGGCTCAAATACTAAAAATTACGCACTAAGCAGAAGACCTCGGGTGTACACTGGAGAAAAGTATGGAATGAGTTCTTCATATCACTACTGGTTCTCTAATTATGATTGTTCTATCCAGTAAATATCTTATTTATATTATTGACAAGGAAAGAGGCATTTCAAAAACGATAAGGGCATAGTCCTGTCTTATACTGTTGAGGAGAAAGGTAGGAGATCCCCTTTCCTCAGAAAGCAGAAGAGTAGAACCTTTTCCTAATGCTGCAGACCCCACTATAGGAAGTGAGCCTGACTACCCAGCTAGCCAGCATATCTGTCAGGGCCGGGCCATGGGCAGCAAGTGTGCACTGGTCAGTTACCAAGTTGCGGTCAGGTGATGGGTAGTGAAGTTGAGATTGAGCCAAGTCAGGATACCAGCAAGTCAGGATCAGGCACTGAGTTACAAGCAGGAGGGAAGTAGTGGTGACAGGGTCGAGCGGGGTCTGGATACCAATAAGAGAAGGTCAGGTTCCAGGAAGTGAGTGCCTGAGTTGGAGGTTCACAGTAAGGCGAGGTCTGGAGCAGAAGCACACGTGTGGTCTGCATCATTGCTCAGTATTTGAGCTCCCTGTAATGGGTTCTTGGTTTATATACCAGGATGGGCCAATCAGTGTACTACAGGGGTGAGGTGCCACTCAAGCCCCACTGGGCAGTACTTCCTGTAGTGTCTAGCTTCACAGGGTCCACCACCAGCAGCCTGGCCTGAGCTCTGATGGCGATATGGAAGTGACAGTGGCCAAGAACCTTCCTGGTTTTAGTCCTATGGTGCTTACAACATCATTTATCAGAGGAGTGGAGGTTTATGGGTTCAGTTTAACTAGTGCACATGCTGTGGTCAGTAGCACACGTTAGCTGGGGTACATCAGTGATCACAGTGAGCCTGGCAGTGTGTCTTCCCCCCCACATTGAGCTATCTTGTCATGCACCACTCCACTGCTCTTGACATCCGTAGTTTGAGCAGCTCCCTTGGGAAAGACAGGATTTCTCTCTGGATGATTTGAAACTACACAATTGCTATTTGCTCCTTTTTAGAAAAAAAAAATTGAAGATATGGAGGCAGGATTGTTTGTTTTTGTCATACAAACTGGATAACAAGTAAATCCCTTTAGATATTAAAGCTGTACAATTTTTGTGCTGTTTCTAGGCCTCTATATTCTGTAGCACTAGAGAAAGCAATGATAGAGAAAGCAATAGGGAGATTCATTATGTCTCAGTGACAGATTTGAAAAACATTTGTAGCACTTTGCACAGGGAGTATATTTCCCAAGGCAGCTGCCTCTTAATCCTCTTAAGCCAACCCTGGCATTTCTCTGCTGTGTCAGCTCGTTGTTGAGTTTGCTTTTCTTCCATTTAGTAAGGCAGGTGGTATGGTATTACATGGCTCTCTGTGCTGATTTGCGTTTAGCTTTGATTTCTCCCCCTCTCCACCCCCAAACCCCCCCCACCTTTACTGCTTGAAGTACATGATTTCCACTTCCTCATGTCTCGTTCCTTCTGTCCTGATCACAGCTAGTAATGTAATGAATGTGGGTAACTATTTTCTGGAACTTAATTTTTCTCTTCAAAGGTAACAGTTCTTCAAGTAGCGTCCCTATTGGTGCTCCACTTTACTTCAGGAGTACACATGCCCCAGGCACCTTTGATTGGAGATTTTAGGTAGCAGCTCCAGTTTGGCCTGCGCATGCATTCCAGACCTCCTTGTGCCCTATACTTAGGACATATAGGCCTGCATGGGGGAGCCACTCTCAGTTCCTTCTCAACCGCCCTATAGCCTGACACAGAGCATTTGGTGTACCCCTTTTTAGCAGTAGCTAGCCTTCAGCCCTTTGCGTCGTCTAGGTCTAGTTTAGTTTTAATTTAGTTTACTTTAGTTTTTTATTTAGTTTAGTTGTATAATTACGTCATTTATTTTCTTGGGTTTATTTGGTTACATACCTCTTTCCTCTGGCTTCCCTTCTTGAGGGGTTCTCCCTCGGGAGGTTTTGGATAATAAGTAAATCCCTTTGGGTATTAAAGCAGGGGTCAGCTACTTACCAGCATAGAGACACCTCCTGATGCCTTCACCAAGAGTGAGGTTTTTAAGGTGAAGCAATCTCGTGTTCCCTCTCATTCGATCTGGTATGAACAGGATTAGATACCACTGCTTCTACTTTTGTGATTTCCCCCTCATTGACCATACTGGAACAAGAACTTTCAAGAGCTCCCAACTATTCACATGGGGATCATCCTGGAAGACAGTCTCTGCCCCATCTCTCCCTCCTCAAGTGGGAATCTTTTGAGGAGCAGGAGATTACAGCTGATAAGGAGGTAACAACAGAAACTAATATCTCCTCACCTTCACCATGTGAGGCTGTGCTGCCTCCCAATCATCTTATGCAGATGATTTTAAATAGCTTCAAGAACTTAATAAATGGATTGACAATTCACTCCAAACCCCCCTGGAGGAGGTCCAAGATGCTCACCACATGACAACTTTTGGTTGAGTGGCCTTGCTGGTGAACAAGGCTCTGCTTGAATCCACCAGACAATCTGTCAGACTCCTGCCATAGTACTGCTTACATGCAGACTAGCTGACAAAGTGTTACATCCCAGCAAAACAATGAGTTTTTATTTACACATCTTCCGCCTAATTCTTTGTTTATGGAAGCCATCAACAAGCATGGCAAACAACACCATACAATAAGGGCTAAAAGTGCTTGGACCTCTTTGGTTGTAAGAGCTACTTCGTGACGCTGTGATTTAAGGTTATGAATTGCCCAGCTCTGATGGTAAAGTATAATTACATCAACTACAGCAAATATAATGCTTTTATTGAACATCTCCCTCTCGAACCACGGGAAAAATTTCAGGCCATCACAGGGGAAGGTCAGCTCCTAGCAAGGACAAGATGCAGCCAACACTGCAGCCTGCTCTATTTCCACTGCTGCTATCATGTGTCAAGCATCTTGGCTGCAACTATCAGGATTTCCCAGGGGGATCCAATATACTGTAGAATACCTTCTTTTCGACAGATTTATGCTCTTCGGTGAGTCCACAGATGAATCCTTGCACACTTTGAAGAATTTAAGGGCTGTACTCCGGTCTCTTGGGATCTACACATCTGTGAACAAAAGAAAATTTAGTGGATCACAGTTGGTTCAGAGATCCCGCCAGGCCCAATTTCTTGTTTTCCATAAGTCTGCCAAGCCACCCAAAAAGAGACCAAGAAATCAGAAAGAGAGGCCGCCTACCATATCCACTACTACCACCCAGCCCTCCTCCTCATTGAAACAGCAATTTTGATGGTTCAGTTGAGGGTGCAGAAGATCCCCTTTATCGGCATCTTCAACTGCATCAGTCTACCCACCCTTTGGAGACCATCTCTTCTGCTTTTGACCTTCGTGGGAGCAGATAGTAGCCAACAAATGGATTTTGGAAGGTATAACATTGAGTTACTCCAGCCATTTTACCTCTATTCCTCCATCCCATCCTCCTTTCCCGTTCCTTCTCAGGGACCCATCTCACAGACAGGAATTGCTGAGACAGGAATTCCTCTCCCTCCTGTGCACAGGAGCCATAGAATCAGTTCTGGTCCAGCATAGAGGGAAGTGATTCTGTTCCAAGTATTTTCTGGTCCCCAGAAGAAATGGAGGATGGAGACCAATTTTATATCTCAGATACTGTCACTTTTGTAAAAATGCAAACATTCAGGGTAGTAACTCTTGTAGCTATAATTCCATCATTAGATTCCAGGGATTGGTTTGTGGCACTGAACATTTAGGCCGTTTCCTTTTAATTGCGATACATTCTTCTCAGAACAGGCGCCTTCGTTTTATGTTTGGCCAGGATGACTTCCAGTATCAAGTGCTCCTCTTCGGTCTATCCTTTTCCTCAAGGGTATTCTTGAAAGTCCTTGTAGTGATGGCCACTCACCTAGGTTGAATGGGAATAATCATCTCCCCCCATCTCGATGATTGGCTCCTTAAGGGCTAGTCATACAATGGTGTTTTCTTTGTAGTAAAGATAGCTGTGTTCCTGTTCCACAAGTAGGGACTACAACTCAATAGTGAAAAGTCCCTTTTGACTCCAGTTCAGCAGAGAGACTTTATATGGGTTTCTCTGCTTGCCAACATGTCCAGAACTTAGCTTCCAGCTCACTGGTTTATGGGACTGACAAACCTTATTTCCAAGATAAATATAAGTCCTTGGATGTCTGCAAGAAATCCTCTGTTAGGCCATATTGCAGCTTACACTTTTGTAACACGTGCCAAGTTACATCTTCATTGCTTCCAGGGATAGCTCAGAACAGGCTACATTTTGAACACACACAGTCTTGATACACTGGTGTCTGGTCCTGGTCAGGAGCTAGACTCACTCAATTGGTGGAAGGACCCATACAAAGTTTGTGAAGGAGTTCCCTTCCACTACTATAACTAGAACTTCAGAAGCATCCTTTGTGGGATGGGGAGCACACCTCAGAGGACACACCAGTCAATGCAAATGGTCCTCTCAGGAGTCCCTTCTCCATGTCAACCTCCTGGAAATAAGGGAAGTCAGGAATGCCTGTATCCACTTCCTTCACTTAATCAGGAGTCAGTCCATCAAAGTCATGACAGACAATGTAGTCTGTATGTTCTACATAAATCTTCAAGATGGAGGGTAAGATCCCTTCCCCCTGATTTGTGCCAAAGCACTAAAGCTATGGAACTGGTGTATAGCCAATCACATCCTCATCTCAGCCTCTTGCATTCCAGGTACTCAAAACACGATAGCTGATGATTTAAGCAGGCACTTCTCCCAAGATTACAAGTGAGAGCTGGATACTCTGATTCTCAGATATATTCTCCTGTCCTGGGGTTTCTAGAAGTGGATCTTTTTTGCCACTGTCATCAACAAAGGGCAAAAAATTCTGCTCAAAGGGTCTTCTCTCCCTCAATGTTGTTAGCAGGGCCATCCCTAGGGGTGTGTTGGGCCCGGGACACAGGCACCGAGTTTCTATCTGCTGGGGGGTGCTCCCCCTCCAGCTCCACCCAGGCCCTGCCCCC